AGCCCCATTACTTTGAGAAAATAAAGGTTGTGTATGTGAAGCCCTAGTAAGTTGTAAACTATCTAAATGTGTCAGAGGAGAATTGGGGCCCACTGTCTGTAATGACCTGGAGAGGTACACCATTCTAATCAAACCAAGGTTTCATATGCTGCACCACTGCATTGGACGTGGTAAAACTAAACAAGTAGTCAAAGACAGCCATACAACAAACTAAAACATACATTTAACTAAAAAAGGTCAGCCCCATGAACTTTCTGGTGTTGCTGTTGGAAGAAAAGGTTCTGGGGCTTGTCTCCTGAATCTGTTGCATGTGCCACATTGTTCTACATTTGGTTGCAGTTTTGATGAAACTACACAGAGCATTTTGCTCTCTCTTTGGATTTCGTTATGCCTTGGTCATCATGTAGTTTCTCTAGTTTGTCTGTCTGTATCGAAGCTGGAATGACAAGTCTTGTGCCTTTTAGCAACAATCCATGTGCCACCACAAAATTCCCAGAGGAAGCCCAACAGGGGTTCACTATCCTGTTTAGCCACACGTTGCCAGCCATACTCACAATACTGTCTCACCTGAGAGAGGAATTCATCATCTTCCTGTTCTTGTTGCAGTTGCTGAAGGCGTTTTTCAGTTATGGGGAGTGAAGAGAGAATAGCATGTACATATCTTTCAGTTTCACTCAAGTTGTACGTGAAGCTGTTTTGTAAGACAAGCGCTCTGGACAGTAGTGCTGTCCAGAGTGGCCAAGCTCTTTTCCGGGAACATGCTTATTGCTGTATTTAAAATATCTCAGTCTCAAGTTCATTCAAGTTTTTTAAATCCAACTAAACTCTTGTGATCTGTGTCCACAAGGAAATTGAGCCCAAGAAGGAAGTCTCTAAAACATTCACAAGTCCATGTTATCGCAAGAGCACTCTGTGTCCAACAGTGCTCTGTATATGGGAGCAATAGGGCGCCAGTCTCCTTCATTCTTTTTCTGAAGCAAGACTGCTCCAACACCATTAGTTCAAGCATTACCTGAAACTTTAGTGGCTGCTGCAAGGTCATAAGGGCTAGTCCTGGAGGAGTTGTGAGCGTGCTCTTGATGTTATTAAATGCCTGGCTCTTTTGTATTAGCCTTCAACAGCTAACTCTATTCACTTTAATCTTCAAGTAAGGTCTTTTGCTTCTTTATTGTCTCCATGCTATATAACCTAATAGATGCAGATTTCTTTTTTTGTTGTCCCGTAATGTCTTATTTTTCAGAATCTGTCATAGTGAGTGCACACATGAACATACTAACAGACCAGACACAGCTGATAAGAAATATTAAAAAGACAAACAATAATGAGATTTTTTGTTTTTGAATATGTTGAAAGTGATTTTTTACTATTGTAAATTGTTCCCAACAGGTGCTTTTCCAGGCACTTTTAAAACTGCCTTGGTGAACCCTCTGCTAACAACAGAGTAGCACGGATCCATCCATACTAAATCATTTTAGACCAACTTTAAACTTTACATTTTTAAGTAAAGTTCTAGAAAAAGTTGTTTTCAAACATTTAAATGCATATCTAATATCAAACAAGTTACATGAGAAGTTTCAGTCAGGTTTTCATTCTAACCATAGTACTGAGACAGCATTGGTTCACGTTGTGAACGACCTCAGGCTTAGCACTGGTGCCCAAAACCTTCTATTTTGGTTTTATTGGACTCAGCCCTCTCAGGAACCTGATTGAATCTTCTCATACAACTTGATTGGTATTAGATACACATTTGATTGCTTGAAAACAAAATTTCTATGACTTTAAAAAGGAAGACTTCAGTTTGGTCTAAAATCAGTTAGTACGGAAGGATCCATGCTATTCTTTTTTTCCCCAGAGGCTTCACCAAGGCAATTTTAAAAGTGTCTAGAAAACCACTTGTTGACAGAGTTTACAATAATTAAAACATCACTTTGAACACAATCAAAAACCCTCTTAAGGAAAGAAGTAGGAACAGAGTCAAGATCACATGCGGATGAATTTAATTTGTTAACAGTTGTAAGCTTCTGATAATTGATACCAGAGAAAGATGTCATTACTGATGTAGGTGAACTAACAGGAAGGTTTTAGGAGTTTGTTTCAGCTGGTTGAGCTCTGATCTGTCTTATCACGTCTATTTTATTTTGAAAATGATCTGCAAACTCTTTGCAAATTTAAGAAGAAAAATCACCACCACACTAGCAGAAAAATTCAGGTTAATTAGTCGGTTTATGGTGGAAAAAAAAGCACTATGGTATTATGTGTATGTTCATTAATTACTCTAGAGAGGTATGACTCTCTGGATATTTTCATAGCATTAGAAGCATAGTTGTAGGTGTAGTTGTAGGTGCTTTTTGAGAATATTATAATGTACCGCAGCTTTGTTTTCCTCCTTAAGCGCTCTGATTTACAACAGTTTCTTTTGCGCTGGCATATTTCTGCATTCATTCACAGATTTTTATGAGTACGAGATTTTTTTCTTCCATTAGACAGGAGCGAGAGTGTCAAGAGTTTCACGTAATCTAGCATTTAGATCAGAAACCAGATCATTACAGGAGGGAGTCAGAACTGCAATAGATGATCTATTATGTGTGTGTATATATATATATATATGTATATATATATATATATATATATATATATATATATATATATATGATCTATGTATAACTTCTGATTCAATATCACTTTCTAAAGTAACTTTGACACTTTCTCCTTTAATTTTTAATTGATTTGAAAGATTATACAGAAATCATTGGATATGAAAACGTCAGAGGTGAGGGACATGTTTGCAATTAAACCTTTAGTGATTACCACATACAGGCTGTGACCTAGCATGTGTAGCAAATGTCTCTAGACGTCTAATGAATTTTATTTTGTTACTGTCTGATTGATTTTCACTATGTAAGTTAAAATCCCCAGAGATAAGAACTTTATCATACTTGAATACATAGTGACTATTAATTCTTCAATTTCTACCAAGACATTAATTATTTTGCTTGGGAGGGATAAATATTACAATAGGCTGGAGCCTATCCCAGCAGTCATTGGGCGGAAGGCAGGAAACATCCTAGACATGCTGCGAGTCCATCGCAGGGCCCTAACAATTGTTTTTCTTTCTTTCTTTCTTTCATTTGTTTTGTTTCTTTTTATTTTATTTTCCCTTTTAGGTGTCTAGGAAAAGGTAAGAAAAGAAAAGAACCTAAGAAAAGGTTTTTTTCTTATGTTTACACCGTGATCTTTTACTCGGTGGAGACAAAGGATCAAACACCCAGAACTTGAGAGAAAGAGAATTATACCAAATACCAGCTTGGTCGAGAGCACTTGAGCCTGGTTCAGTTCTCTTTCTCCCTCTGGTGGTTGGTGGTGGCCTAGCAGGACGCTGGGACGTTACACCTGTTTAGTCAGAAATATGTTGCTTCTGTCACTCAGCGAGGCATCATACCCCTTCCCTATGCATTTTATTGGGTTTTCCTCAATTTATGATATAACCACCTCTTGCATTTAGAGCTGAAATTTTCTGGTCACTTTCCCATTTCTGATCGTCATGGTTCTTGGCATACTTGGTTTGAACTTCATTATTGAGTTGATTATTATTATTATATATCTTGAATTAATAATTGATAATTATATAACAACCTGTTTATAATAACTCCTTGTCAGAGATCAGTATCTGTTTCAGCATTTTATCAAAATTTGATCACTGTTTTGCAAATGAAAGGAATTCTGGATATTTTACTACAACATTGCTTTCAGTACTCATTATTTTTGTCAGTCATTTTACATTCGTCTATAATTGTGGACATACCTAACACATCTTCATTTTTTACAGTGTCCAGCAAATGATTCCAAATGTATAAAGTTATACAGTACTAGAGCCATATTAGAATGCTTTTGTGGACGTGTCTGCTTTTATATTAACGAAAAACATTGATTATAAACTTTTGAATAGTAACGTGTTTAAGGAGGGGATTTGCTTGCTTCAGGGTTTTGCACTTGAAATGCTTCTTTTCTCCACCTCCCTGAGAAGGCAAAATGCTTTAGGAGGCTGGAGCATCTGTACTGATTACTCCAGTGAGCTGAGAGCAGGGCCAGAATCTCCTAAATCCTAAAAGCTTTCATATTTAGGTAGAAATTAGATTAGGTAGAAATGGAGAAACAATACCAGAATTTAAAGTGAGTGCATATAGAAATACCCTAAAGCACAGTAGGAAATATGTCATTTGTTTGATAGATGAATATTTAAACAGCTAACTTAGTTCAGTTCTTCTCATTGAACTTATTTTAATAAGTCTTAGGTTAATGCTACTTTTGGAGTTAAAAGATCCTGATTAGCTGCATCTGGACACTGTCCTAGAGTAAAGAGTCGAGAGAGAGAGAGAGAGAGAGAGAGAGCTAGATCACAACATTCACCACTGCAGCTCTTCATTAGTGACTCACAACCACAACTCAACCATTCTGGAAGAAGATAAACTCTTATTGCAAAAACAGTCCATCACTCACTGCAGTGTGTAGAGTGCTGCAGACTGACAAACACAAACACACCAACTACAGTTTCAGTCTCTTTAACACAAACAAGTAACAGCACTTCTTACCTTCATGCAAAAGAAATACCAACACAGAAATTTTCCTTAAAAATATACCAAACATAACATGCTGAAATTCTAAAGCACATATTAACTATAAACAACCATCAAACCTTGCTTTCTGTGTAATTGTAGAACTCCTCTGAACCACAATGTGTATTTATACGATTGTTAAAATGTTCATATCAGCCTGTAATATACTGTAAATAATAGCTTAGCTCCTCAGACTTTGCACAGATATTCACATTCATCTCTTTAAAACAGGAATAATTTCTTATTTATCAGAAGGATGTTGAATACCCTCTCCTAGCAGTAGAACTTATGTGACAAAGAGATACACACATACACACAAATAAAACATTCACAGAGTTTAATTATAAAATCATTAGTAAAAGAAAAGAGTAATGCAAATGTATATAGGAACAAGACAACAGCATACAAAATAAGCTAATCAAGCTGATACAGAGAAATAAAGACATTGCTTGACTAAAACAAGGAAGACTAGTTCATATACAAAGAACTAAACCTAGGGCGCATTCAATCTCAAAACGTGTGCACTCTTCTTCCTACAGATTCCAGGTTGAACAATGTTTCATCGGAATGATGCAAAACAATGTGCAGCGGGCTGTGAGGAATATTTTCTCTTGTTTGATGGTTTGGCAGAGGTGTTTCTCAGCTTGACATGTATATAAAGCTTGCTATTTTGAAAAGGCAGTGCACACAGTGCATTCTAATAAAGTTATGGCAGCTACATCTTTATATACTGATTTCGATGCTTTTGGCATAATCTGCAAGAGATGGGAGCTCTTTTCTCCTTCTGACATCTTTCCGTTATTGCGGTTCTGCTTGATTTTCCATAAGCAAGTAGTAATCAAGCCAGACAAAGTAGTCATACCTTTATGCAAATTATACGGAAATCATACAGTCTACAAACAGAATTTTGGTTTGAAATTTCCAGACAAAAATTTCAAACAAAAACTATTATAATGCAGGTTTGAATTGGTTCAAGAACAAAACTGAACTCAGTGTCATTGGTGAGATTCAATCAACAAAGATAGTGACCCTCATACACATCCTAATGAAGTCTGCAAGAGTTGCTCTCAATGAGGCCCAAGACCTTGATCGTCCTCTAATGGTAACCTTTCACACAGTTCTACAATAATGTAGATACTCAGTTCAAACACCTGTACCATTGGTTGCCGTCATGTCTAGTAGGATAGACTGGAGATGGGCATAAACAAGTCCTTCTCATAGCCCTTCTCAAGAAACCATCACTCTCTTAAGTGTCACAAAGAACATCAACAAGAAGTCCTTAAAGTCTCTGAAAAAAGTAATGGAAATTCATGAGGTGTAGTGTAGCCTGTATGCAACTTTATGCCACTTAGAACAGGCTTGTGTAGGCCCCACTGAGGAGAGGTCACCAGTACATCACTGAGATAGCTTGATGTCTTGCAGTCCTCTTCATATTCCGGAGCTGTTCAGTTCTGCACACCACAGCGAAAACTTCACTGTTACGGTCTTCAGGGTCATATCTCCTTTCATTACAGTCCTCAACAACAACACACTGAACATACAGCATACAAAAAACATCTGCTAAAGATCAAAAGCCTTCTCATGGGGATGCTCAGCACAGAAAATTATATTTCATATTTTTTTTTTATCTCATTATATTTGATTATACAGCCCCAACTCCAAAAAAGTTGGGACGCTGTGTAAGATGTAAATAAATGTAAATAAAAACATAATGCAATAATTTGCAAAACTCATAGACCCAAATTGTATTCACAATAGAACATAGAACACACCTGGAAAGATGCAGTTTTTCACAGATTGGTGAACCTCTGCCCATCTTTGCTTCTGAGTGACTCTGCCTCTCTAAGATGCTCTTTTTATACTCTATAGTCACGTGAGTTAATAGCAAACTGCTCCTTCAGCTGTTTTGTATTAGTACCACTTACTTTTCCAGCCTTTTGTTGCCCCATCCCAACTTTTTTTAGATGCGTTGCTGCCATCAAGTTCTAAATGAATTAATATTTTTCATGAAATGGTAAAATGTCTCACTTTCAACATCTGATATGTGTTCTATGGGCTATTGTGAATAAAATATGGGTCTATAAGATTTGGGTTTGGGTTGTATTTCATTTTATGCTCAAGTTTTAAAAACAGCATAACACAACAACAGATGTTTTCCCCTAATAACAGTTTGACATCTGGGGTGAAAAAAAAATTTACTCCTGGAATGTGTTAAGGTTACACTCATTACTGTCCATGTTCACCACTGCCCTTAGTGCACTTATGTATCCTAAAAGTATGTGAATGCCTGAAACTCTTTCCGCACTCTGAGCAGTGATACGGCTTTTCTCCTGTGTGAATGCGCTGGTGTTCTCGGAGATGACTCGGACGATTAAAACTCTTTCCACACTCTGAGCAGTGATATGACTTCTGTCCTGAGTGAATGAGCCGGTGTTGTCTGAGATGATTCCTTTGAGTAAAACTCTTCCCACACTCTGAGCAGTGATACGGCTTTTCTCCTGTGTGAATGCGCTGGTGATCTTGGAGAGAGTTCTGATGATTAAAAGTTTTGTCACATTTTGAGCAGTAATATGGTTTAATTCCTGTGTGAATGAGCTGGTGCATTTTGAGATTACTCTGATGATTAAAATTCTTCCCACAGTCTGAGCAGTGATACGGTTTCTCTCCTGTGTGAATGCGCTGATGAGTTTTGAAGTGACCCTGATGAGTAAAACTCTTTCCACACTCTGAGCAGTGATACGGCTTCTCTCCTGTGTGAATGCGCTGGTGTATTTTGAGATTACCCTTACGATTAAAACTCTTCCCACACTCTGAGCAGTGATATGGCCTCTCTCCTGTATGAATGAGCTGGTGTCTTTTGAGAACACCCTGTTGCTTAAAACTCTTTCCACACTCCAAACAGTAGTGACGTCTCTCGCTCCTACATTTCTGTGTTCGTCTGTGAGATGTGTTCATGTGGAGGGTACCAGATGATGTTTGCTGAGTACTGGAAGATCTTCTGGATGCCATATTCTTATATTTAACCTGTTTCAGCAGCTTAACATTCCTCTTGGTGGAAAATCCTGATGTGTTTATGGAATCACATTTAAGCTGGGTAGGAAAGTGCAGAAGAACACTGGAAGCAGAAAAAAGAAAATGTAAACTTAATGGGCAATGCAACAAAAATACTCTTATGCAAATCATGAATGCTCCACTTACATTAACTGGCAAAAGGTGTAAGGAAAGAATAAGATTCCATCTCATGTGGAATAAAACAATCACCTAATCACCCAAGTTCTTCAAAGTGACATTCAGACCACTAAGGTCATGTAGATTGCTCATGTATCTGGATGGTTAGCATTTTTTCTAGGTCTGTTTAAAAAAACAAACAAAAAAAAACAAAAAAAAACAAGACGCTTTGATTCCAACTTGATCTTTATAAAACTAAAGCCAAATATTTGTTTTAAGCAAAACTGACCTGAGAAAAAGGATGAAAGGGGATAATTTCAAAGCTTGTCTGCTCATAATTTCTTGCACATTATTTCTTTAACAGTAGGCCATCATTCATTTTTTAAAACAGTACTTTTATAGGAAACCAAGGGGGGGGGGGTCATAATGGGAGGCAAGTCTATAGACTGATGTCCTAGAACAGAGGTGTCCAATCTTATCAGCAAAGGGCCAGTGTGGCTGCAGGTTTCCACTCCAAACAAGCTGGAGCACTTGTCACTATGTTTTGAACAAAACCCTCAAAACTAAAGAGACATCCCAAGACCAAACAATTACTCTTGTGGCAAAGCCAGTGGATTATTTTTAGTGAGAACACAATGGACTGCAGCTTCAAATCACAGTCCACATCTACCTCATACATTTCTATTCCCTATCTCTTTTTCATAACATCACTGTAACCATGTTAAGATATGGTTTTTAACTTAACTATAATTTTGGTTTGTGTGATTGGACCAATCTGATCTTTTTCAAGCCGTAATTCTCAGGTATTCAGAGTCAGCACCTACGAAAAGAAAAAGAAAACGACAATTAAAAAGTTGATTTTAGTTTTCCTGTGGGCTGTTATATTTTGTATGTGTGAACAGGTGGGTCTTCGGGCAGAAAACGTTGAGAACCCCTGAATTAGATAAAGTTGCAAATGTGAAATTTAATTTTGTGTAAAATGATCATGATTTGTTTGAATGATAACAGTCAACAATAAAAAAAAAAATCACAGTCAGAAAATTAGCATTTTTGTCTCAGAGTTCTCTGAATAAATTTTCAGACCTTATGTTTCAATACTCTACATTGCAAAAATCAAGAATCTAAGTTAAGTTAGCCTAATGCAAAGATATAAGGCTGAATCTTTGTTAGTAGATTTATATATGGTTCTATTCACTCTTTAAACCACAAATATCTGCAGGAAGAATTATTTCTTTATGAATAGGACTACCTGCCCCATCACGCTCTATTCACACTCACGACTGTCTGGAAAGAGGAAGATCAAGGACCTCCAGTTTGTAGATCAGAGGTTCCCAGTTCCAGTCCTGGAGAGTCCACACTAAGCACATTTTATACTTTCTCTTATCTAGCTCTCCTAATTTATCTCATTACTGATTAAATGTGGGACTGTACGTGTTAAAGTAAGGAGAGATCAAAAATATCCAGAGCATGTGGTCTCTGAACTAGACCATCAAGCTCCTGAATGGCGCTCTCACACACACACTACACCCCCCTTAGACCTCAAACACCCACCATAGACACTCCTACCAGCTCTTAATCTACCACCCATTGAACACCAACCCCCACCCAGGCAGAAACAAACTGCTGTTTTCTCACCACATTTCCATCTCGGATAATGTCAGCATATCAGTTATGCTCTATGTTTGCCAAACCCAACTAGAAACAGATTATCAACCAAATCTTCTGGCCCAGCAGCTCCCAGTACTCAGCTCTGTCTGAGTGAAGCTGCTTCTGGGTGTCTGATCTGTTTTAAAGCCATCAGATCTCATTTCCAGAACTCAGATGTGTCTCCAGCTGTTTGTCTCAGAGTGAATGAAGAACAGTGAGTGTTAAAGTCTCGGACAGATTCCTACCTTCAACAGTTCAGCTCTGGGCTCTGGTCATCCAACAACACTGTCCGAGCGCGTGGGCTGCTCACCACAACAGTCTTCTGCTTCTCCACTTCAGTGCAGTTTGAAAAATCTAGAGTAACAGAATTAGCGCCACCACCTGGCCTGAAGCAGCTTTACACAGGGACCACACGGTCACTGAAACGCGCGGAGGGGTCGTTATTTCAAATCCCACTCGTATTCAGTCAAACCCCGCCTCCAGCGCTCTGATTGGGTAACAGCGGGGTGAGGACTTTGGAGAGGATTCATGATTTAGCATGACATTATAAATTATCTTTGATATTCAGATTAGAACACTCTAAATTACAATGTGAAGAAAAAACATCTTTTATGTGGTACTGTCTCATCTGAACAGGATGATGTAAAAAATAAAAAGTCTACATAAGTGCTCCCTCCTCTAAAAATGTAAACAGTCACTCACAAAACATTTTATACTTACACTTAATTTAAATTTAATTGCAGAAATGTAGAAAAATCTGTGAAATTTCCCTTTAATAGCTTCTTTATCATTTCCTTTCAATAGGAGTTGGTTATTCATCCTCTTCAGTTCCTTATTAATGTTCAGTTCTTCAGTTCTTGTCCATCCAACACTGTAAAAAATGACGTTTTAACTTACAAAATAAACAAACTGACTGCCTTAAAATTCACAGATGAGCTTCAAATACTAAGTTAGCGGTAGTAGAAAGTAAGTTTCCCTAATGAAAGAAGTTCAGTTAACTCAATGTCGTAGGTGCAGTCTGGATGCTTTCAGTTAAATTAACTTTTTTTTCAAAATGAATTTGTCTCACAAGGGGGCGCCGAACGAGTGAGCAGCACAGAGTCAGCTAGAGAGAGACCGATGCCTTCCTTATGTGAAGAAAATGAATTGTGCTGAAATTAGGTTCTACACACTATATACTGCAAACCATCGCTGTTCGACCCTCACAACAAAATCACCTCTTTTTCACCAAAAGCAGAGATCTCTTATCGAAAAGTGATTTTCAAATCACTCTCCATCTGAAAGAGAAACTTGTTCACTCACTGCTTTCATTGACTAGTTGGCTGCTGCCCCAACAAATTATTGTGCCCCACCAAGCTTTCTGTGCCAGAGACACCACTGTCAAATACAGATTCAGTGAAAGGTAATTGTTTAGCTGCGTCACCGACAATCGGCTGTCTTTGCTATTCTTAACTGACTAGAGCTGCAGCACTGGTCAGCCTCAGAGTGGCATTGTAGCTAATTGGTCCACCCAGTTGATCCTTTAAGACCATGCAACTGTAACTACTCCTGAGATATCTCTGAAAAAGTTTAAAATATGCTATATCATATTTGTAAATCTAGAAACTTGCCAAAGATTGGTGGAAAGAGTGAATTGTTGCCCATTTCTCAAACCAAATGCAAAAAAGGAGATGCGTAAGATCTAAATTAATGTGTGGAACTATAAAAGAGCACGTCCGAAAGAAGAACTGTAAACCAAACATTTTGTTGCCATTTAAGCTGGATCAGTACAACCGCCACTATGGCAAGTGAGCTAGGATCCAGCTGGAATCCCAGCCTACATTTTTTTAAACTCTTCTTCTTTTTTTGTTTTTTAGAAGGCTAGATGCTGTTGCCCCCCGCTGTTACATTTGAGTACTATACATGCACAACTGGATTCACAGGTGTCACCCAGCTTTTTGAGTAATGACAAATTGTACCAGCTTACACTGATGTCCAAAATGCGTGCCTGCTATACAAAATGTGAACAGGTTGGCAGGTCTGCATAACAGTTTTATTGGTGAGATTTAGTCAAGAAATATAGTGTCCCTTAGGGCTCAAGTCATTGAACATACCCAAATGGTCACCTTTCACCCTGTTCTACATTGATGGAAATACCCAGTTCTAACTCCTGTACCATTGGCCATCATGTTTGGTTGAATAGATTAGAGATAGGAGTAAATGTCCCTATCCCATGTCACAACACCATTCTCATGAACAAACTTCACAAAGAACAAAACACATGAATACTAAAAGTCAAAGAATAATGGAAAGTTCATGAGTTACAGTCTGGCCTGTATGCGACTTTATGCCGTATATAGCAGACATGCATAGGCCATACTAAGGAAAGATCACCAGTACGTCACTCATATAGCTTGATGTCTTGCAGTCCTTCATGCTCCTGTAACTCCTTTACAAGGCTATTCAGTTCCTATTCCTTTATTACAGTCTTCAACAAGAACACTCTGAAAGATTAAAGAGGAAGACAAAGTGGCACTATCATTGCAAGAAACATTAAACAGTACAAATCAAAGGAGCAGAAGGGGGCTTTAAGGAGCCACGTGCACGGTCAGATGTTTCTCAAAATATCCATTATTGCAACAGAAAAACCATACTAACTTACAAACACTAAATTGGAGAGTAAACAATGTATAATTATTGAAAGTGGAGCTTCTCGGTTGTTTTCAATAAATACTACAAATGAAAATAATTTTGCAAAGAATACGCAGTACCACATCTTCTCATTGGGAGAATGGGGCTGCAGGCTTGACTTGGTGTTCAGTGCAAGAAATTATATTTCATTTTATGCTTATGGTTAGAAATGTAAAATAAAAATAAGTGGTTTCCCCCTAAAACAGTTTTAAATGAGGGCTGAAAACAACGTTCCATAGATGCTGTTACATCTGGAATTACACCACATTTTTCTTGTATGTAATTTTTTCATTTATAACATTTGTGAGGTTGTATCAAACATAGCCAAAATTTATTTAACATGGATATTGTTTTTATTCCTTGCAATGAAACACACAGTGCTTTTAAGACTGATCTAAGATAAATGAGCTCTGTTCTGATTGGTTGTCCTGTATCGTTCCTCATAATATGGCTTCGCTCCTGTGTGAATGCGCTGGTGCTGAAGAAGAGTACTTTGACAAGTAAAACTCTTCTCACACTTTGAGCAGTGATATGCTCCTGTGTGAACGCGCTGGTGTTTTTGGAGATAACCTTGTTGATTAAAACTCTTCCCACACTCTGAGCAGTAATACAGCTTCTCTTCTGTGTGAATGCGCTGGTGTATTTTGAGATTACTCTGCTGATTAAAACTCTTCCCACACTCTGAGCAGTAATACGGCTTCTCTCCTGTGTGAATGCGCTGGTGTATTTTGAGTTTACTCTGCTGATTAAAACTCTTCCCACACTCTGAGCAGTAATACGGCTTCTCTCCTGTGTGAATGCGCTGGTGTGCTTTGAGTTTACTCTGCTGATTAAAACTCTTCCCACACTCTGAGCAGTGATACGGTTTCTCTCCTGTGTGAATGCACTGGTGTGCTTTGAGATGACACTGTTGAGAAAAATTCTTCCCACATTCTGAGCAGGTATGAGTTCTCTCCTTGCTGAGTTGCTGTGATTGTCTGTGAGATGTGTTCATATGGAGGGTACTAGATGACGTTTGCTGAGTACCATCATGTCTTCTGGATGCCATATTTTTATATTTAAATTGTTTTAGCAACTGAACATTTATTTTTGTGGAATGTTCTGACTTGCTTGTGGAAGCATGTTCAAGCTGAGTATCAAAGATCAGGTGAAGACATGAAACAGGACATCATTCATTTCTGGAAGAAAAAAAAAGATAAAAAAGTATTTAAAAAATGCAGAAAATATAAACTCAATGTGCAATGCAACAAAAGTAGTCAAATCATGAATGTTGTCATGCCAATACTGGTTTAAGCTGGGTATCTCTATGGCAAAAATTAATATGATTATTTGAAAACTGCCATCACCACTTGAGTTTATCCATTTTTCCGCTGACTGTTACTGGATCCTATGCTTTATTCATTAAGTACCAAAATATATACATGCATACACACTCTTCCTGCTTCTAAACTTTTACTGCCTGAAATGACAGTAAGAAATGAAAGTTAAGGATAAGTATTGCAGTCAATGCAAGATCTGGAAGACCAAGAAATGCATCTTAAAAAACTGCTTGTAAACTAGCCAGGTATGCAAAGCAAAACCCCCACTGCACTACCAAAGAGCTGTAGGAAGATGTGGCTGGCAGTCAACAGTAATGCATTGGCCTACTTTGCAGTGTTGTTGCAAACACATACTACGTGGACAGAACATCTGAAGGTATATTGTCAACATTCAAAATTGGTAAACAACTCTTAGATAAACCTGAGGCATTTTAGAATCAAGTGCTGTGGACTGAGAGTGTGTTCAAACCTTGTACACGCCATGTTTCCTTCTAATATATTAGGTTCAACAAAAGGAGTGGTAACATTGTTGCACATGCCCTTCTACAATAAATCTGTGCCTTAAAACTACAACATTTTATCTGTGTGACAAAGTAGTGTTTTTAAACAAACATTGTAGAGTCTTTATCATTAATAAAGGAAATTTGGGGTTGTGGGATAACCAATCAGATTAGAATTTTTTACCCAAGTTTACAAGCTCAGAAATAAGCAGTTAAAAGGGCCTATGAGCTTGGCTATGAAGCCAGGTTTAATGAGCGTTCAGAGATATTGACAAATGTAATAATACTAGCAACTCCCCAACTGCTTTGAAATATAGACTTTTTTTCATCCAGAAAGCAATTATTTATGAGTGACTCCTAAGGTGAAGGAAAATTTAGTCAGTTGGTATCCAGCTAGGTACATTTTCATCTCTACAAAACAGAGAACTATCTAACTAAAATCTGAGTTCAAGGAATGCAGAATCTAACTACAGCATATGTAAGTTTAAATATTTCTGATAACATTTTCTGAGGTTTAAGGCTCTTTAGTTGTAAGTAGAGAATAAAGCCATAAAAAAGTGTGCTCAGAAGAAGAACAGCTATAATTAAGGATTTCATTACATTTCCAGCTAGCAGTTAGGGAGGTTCATTGGGTTGTACTTATAACATTTTTGTGATTGTATAGTTTGGTCTATGAAGATAATGCTGTTAATGACTAATTCTTGAATTAAACCGTGTTCAGTGTGTAAACATGGTTGGGTTGAGTTACCTGTCTAATGTTGAATGTAAAGTAAAGTTTGGGGCTACAAGTCCTCCAAAATGTTTAGGCTTTTGGAGTGTGGATCACTTTGATTGGTGCTATCA